TGGTTGTCCACGGTATTGCTGAGACTTGCGTTCGCATGCTAGAAAAATCCCCTTTCCAGATATTTCTTTGTAATTGTTGAGGTGAATTAGGCTGGGAGAACATGGAATACTCAAAGAGCATCACACTATGATCACTAGCACCAATTGGCGGGAGATCTTGTATATCCAGCATACTTTCCTCATCTCAAGTGAGCACCAGGTCGAGTCAATTTGAAAGTTGCCCTTCCCTAACACGTGTTCCGAGAGCTACATTCTGGAAAAGTAGTTCTTCTGCTGCAAATTCAAGCAAATGTTGTCCGAATGTGTTTGATGGACCCGAAACCGTCCAAGCTTGCCAGTCGATATTGGGGGCGTTAAAGTCCCGACAATAAGGACGTCTCTGTTCTAGCAGGTCTTGCTCAGTTCCATTAGGAGAAGGCTATCGTGTTTGGAAATCTGGTTTGGGAACGATACACAACTGCAAACGCCAGCGGCCTGGCATATTTGTGGAGATAGTTAAAGATAAGAATTCGACTTCCGCTGTTGTTGTTGGATTATGCTCAGGGACCGCGGTTATGTTATAGCTAACATAGACAGCGACCCCTCCTCCTCGGCTTCTCCTGTCTCTTCTGAACAGTTGGTAGCCTATGAGGGACACCTCATGGTCTCCAATAACTTCAGAAAGCCATGTTTTTGTCAATGCGATGATATCTGGCGAGTGCTCGTCGATCAGATTCGTGAGTTAATCCATCTTGTTAAACAGGCTCTGCGCATTCGAATACAGCACATTTAGTGTCCGTCTTCTCGGGGGGGAACTGGCCCTGATTACAAAGGAGCTTAGCCACAGGAACGATCGTTTGATCTGTATTATCTTGCCTTCCTTTATTTTCAATCCCTTCTCCCCCTCGTCTGTCCTTGTTTTCAGTCCTGTCCAGAGCTCCCTCATCTTGTGTCTTTCTGTTGGTTCGTAATCCGGCTGAAAAACACTTCCTTATGCGAATGACGAAGGGCCATCCTCCCTTCCAGGAGATGTGAGGCCTAGGCTTCATTTGCAAGGATAATTTTAATAGGTCTTGGTAATGCACGCGACTCATCTGCGTTTCCTAGACGGAAAGCTTTGTGCACGGTAACACATTCTCCGTCCTGAAGGACGGCATTTGAATATGTTTGAAAGAGGTTGAGATCGTGTTCGATTTTTTTTTTTCAGTCTGAGAATTGGACTCAGGAGCTCCCTTTATGACGATGTTTCGTTTTCGGTAAAGATGCCTGTCTGGAAGAGTCCCTACGTTTATTTTTACACGCACGTTCAGCATTTCGCCAATTTCCGTTGTCATCGTTTGACTCAGAGACAGCTGTGATGGCGTAGCTACCACAGGGTTCCTCACCAACCGAGTCGTGCGATACATCGTTCGGCAGTGTGGTATTTGCTGGCATTGTGTGTGGACTCTGCTCTCTCGTACGGACAGTCTGACCTGCATTTTCTTTTCGGGATGCCCTGGGGCGCTTCTGCGTTTCCTTTTCGATTGGCGGCAGTTTTTGCTTCAGGACTTGACCACTTTTGCATCCGTAAGTGATGTGCACCGATCATCAAACCCTTATTATCTCTGCCTCCCTAAGCAATACCCTTACCTTTTCACAAATTCCTTGTCAACTATTCCACTCTCACTACTGATCACTTTCCCGTCTTCCCATTACCTCGTGCTATCGATTATTACATCAAACAGCTGGACTGCCCGATTCTCGCTCCCTATATCTCTCACTCGACCGTGTTGATTGACACATTTTTAGTGACCAAAGAGCCAGTAAATATAGCACTACCTCTGATTATAACACATTTTCAAATTCTATTGATTTTATCGGAACTCTTCTGGCCGAGGTCGTTTTCCCTGTGCTTTACTTAGTCGGAAATCTTCGCCAAGCTGTCAGTTATGCTCTTTCAGGGCATCTCTAACGGCCTCAGGGAGACGATCCCACCCGACAGTAGAGGTCACTGCTGCTGGAGGCGTTGCCAATCTCCACACTCGCCGTTTGTTTCTCAGGGACCGTATTGCTGGTGCCAAATTCCTTGTCGACTCCGGTGCCGTGGTTAGCGTGGTTCCACCAACTCCGGCCGAACGTAAAACCCGCAGCTCTTTCTGTCTAACAGCCTCCAACAACTCCAGCATTCCCCCCTTTGGACAGCGCTCCATCACACTTGATTTGGGCCTTCGTCGGATTTTCCGATGGGTTTTCATTATTGCGGACTTCTCCGCCGCCCTCATAGGCGCCGATTTCCTAGCTCACTTCAATCTACTAGTTGATTTGAAGAATCGCCGACTCGTCGACTGCATCACCGACCTGCATGCAGTTGTCAATATGATGTGACCCCCTGCGTCAACCCTCTCACTGTTATGCCTATCTCTGACTGTCCTTTCCATTCACTTCTCAGGCAATTCCCCCGCCTGACCACCTCCTCATTTCGTGAAGTGGACATCAGGCACACAGTCACCCACCGCATTCCCACCACCGGACCTTCCAAATCTTGCCGACCACGACGTCTTGCTCCGGACCGTTTGAAGATTGCCAAGGCAGAATTCGAACATATGCTCGAGGTCGGCATCATCGGACAGTCCGACAGCTGCTGGGCATCATCCCTCCATCTTGTCCCAAAGAAGAGCGGCGACTGGCAACCGTGTGGGGACTATCGGACGTTGAACTCAGGGACAGTCCCGGACCAGTATCCGGTCCCACACATCCAAGACTTCACCCTTTCGCTGCATGGTAAGCGAATATTCTCCAAGATTGACCTTGTGCGTGCCTACCACCAAATCCCAATCAAGGCCAGTGATGTGCCGAAAACTGCAGTGACCACTTCCTTTGGGTTATTCGAATTCACTCGTATGCCCTTTGGTCTGAGGAGCGCCACTCAAACCTTCCAGCGATTCATTGATCAGGTTCTGCGAGGTCTCGACTTCGTCTACGCCTACATTGATGATTTGTTAGTGGCTAGTTCTGACGCTGCTGAACACGAGATTCATCTTCGACAACTCTTCCAACGACTCGACTCCTTCGGCGTTGTAATAAATGCTGCTAAATGTGAGTTTGGAGTCCCCAGCCTAATCTTCCTGGGTCATGAAGTGAACTCAGATGGGCTAAAGCCCGTCGCAGAAAAGGTTTCGGCCATATCAACGTTCCCCGTCCCGACAACCATCAACCAACTACGCCGATTCTCGGGGTGGTGAACTTCTATCACCGTTTTCTTCCCCATGGTGCCACCATACTGCAGCCGCTCCACAGCCTGTTGACCCACTCAAAGAAGACACTGGTGATGACCGAGGAGGCCGTCAGGTCCTTCAATGACGTCAAGGCCGCACTTGCGGACGCAACATTGCTTGCCCATCCTCGCTCAGATGCTCAGATGACTTCAATAGTAGTGAATATGCGATTCCCGGGTGGCATATCTCTCCCAGGGAACGCCGTCTCTTCTTTTGATATGCTCAGATGACTCTCATGACAGATGCTTCCAGCACTGCCGTTGGTGCGTCACTTCAGCAAATTGTTAGTGGTGTTCTACAGCCTCTGGCTTTCTTCTCGAAGAAGCTTACCCCAGCAGAGACCCGCTACAGTGTCTTCGGCCGAGAAATCCTTGCCGTCCACCTATCCATCCGGCACATCCGCCATTTCCTCGAGGGTCGTGAATTTGTTGTTCTAAAAGATCACAAGCCACTCGTTTTTGTACTCAGGGTCTCTCCTGATCGATACTCGCCCCGTGAAATTCGTCATCTAGACTTCATCTCACAGTTTTCCTGCGACATCCAACATGTCCACGATAAGTAAAATGTGCTTGCGCTAATGGCTGAGGCTCAATGATCGGATGGCGAACTCTCCCAATACCGCCACGAGGACTCTTCTTTACGCCTTCAAGATGTCCCCCTTCCCACTGGCACTGGCACCATCGCGTGTGACCTTTCTACCGGACACGAACGTCCTTTTGCTCCAGCAACTTTACGACGACGAGTGTTCAAAGCTCTTCACAATCTATCCCACCCTGGAGTCCGGGCGAGCCAAAACGCATCGGCATACTATTACACCGCCAGGTACTTTCGCCACTCCTGATGCACGCTTCAGTCATGTGCACATTGACCTGGTAGGTCCGCTTCCACCATCTAACGGTTCTACCTATATGCTGACATGCATTCATCGCTTTACTCGGTGGCCGGTTGCTGCGCCCATTCCGGCCATCAGTGCAGAAACTGTTGCAAAAGCTTTCCTGACTCATTGGGTGTCCAATTTTGGAGTTTCTGCGACTGTCACCACTGACCGCGGATCCCAATTCGAGTCCACACTGTTTCGCGAACTCACATCCCTTCTCGGTACCAACCGAATTCGAACAACAGAGACCAACCCTCAAGCAAATGGTCTCGTCGAACGCTTCAATCGACAGCTCAAGACTTCTCTTGTGGCCCAGCCCGATCCTTCCCGATGGTCTGATCACCTTCCCCTAGTGCTTTGTCCCTCCGTTCCACTCTCAATGCCGACATAGGTTGCACTGCGGCTGATCTTGTCTACGGAACCTCCCTACGACTGCCCGATGAGTTAGTGTCTCCCTCAAGCATGCTAACGTTTTTCGAACCTTGCAGTTATGTGGAGCACCTGCGTAGTGTCATGCGCAATCTCCGCGCAACGCCCCCATCGGGCGTCACCGGGCAATTCCTTCATCCCTCCCGACCTGGATAAGTGCACTTTCGTCTTGGTTCGGCATGACGCTGTC